ACCACTGAGCCACACCCCAGCCCCTCACTGGGGGATTCTAGGCTGGGACTCTACCACTGAGCCACACCCCAGCCCCTCACTGGGGGATTCTAGGCTGGGGCTCTATCACTGAGCCACACCCCAGCCCCTCACTGGGGGATTCTAGGCAGGGGCTCTACCACTGAGCCACACCCCAGCCCCTCACTGGGGATTCTAGGCCAGTGGTTTATCAGCGAGCCATGCCAGCATTGGCTAGGGCACACAGGCTTTCTACCACTCCCTCCCCCGCCTCTCTCTTTTGCTGTGTGCTGCTTGATGAAGACATGTTTCAAAATAAACAAGTTTAAAAACTAAGGAATGTAGGGCTAGGAGCACATCTCAGTGGAAGGACATTGAGGACCCTGGCTTTGCTCACCACCACTCCAAAAAAGAAATAAATTTTAACAAAGCATTGTATATCCACAGGTTGATGTTAATAAAAAGGTGAGTGTATATTTAGTGATAATCAAAAATCATGGAAATGGAATGAGAATTTTGTCAGTGAGTTCCGGGAAGAGGTCCTATAGAGACTGTGTTAAAGGAGGCCACTTTAGAATTTTCTGGAATACTAAGTCCAGAACTGTCATATCTTTCCACTGAATCAACTTGTTAGTCTTGACCCTCAATTTTGTTTCTCTTTTCTTTCTATAAAGATTTGTTTTTATTTTTGTAATGTATATGCATGTGTGTGTGTGTGTGCGCGTGTGTGCGCGCGCGCGTGTGTGTATGTATGTATGTGTGCACATGTGCACATGAGGACGCTGTCTGTTACAGGTGCTGAGAACTAAACTTGGGTCCTGTGGAAGCGAACTACATACACTTAACCACCAAGCCATCTTTCCAGCTCATTGATCCCATTTTCTTTCAGCAGTGAAGTTGATCCTGAACCCCCCAGAGGCAGGTCGGAGCCAGGGAAGTGTGGCTGCTTATAGGCAGACAGAAAGATGAACTCCAGATTATGTGGAGCTTGTGGTCTGGCGCCATCATAAACCCAGAGTTAATCTTCCTGGAAGCTAAACTTCTTGGTGACTTAAGTACCTGCTCAGGGCCATTGAGAGGGACATTCTGCACTTGACACCT